GCCGGACCAACGGCTGAGCTCCGCACCGCCCACAACGACGACCCGTACATGACGGGGCACAAATGGCTCCAAAATCAAAGTTAGGCGGGCTTACCTCTGCTGGAGCTGCTCGTGCTCGGCCCGGGTCTTCCCCAGCTCGATCTGGAGCCAGGCCCGCTCCTTGGAGGAGTCATCCAGGCTCCTCCTGGCGTCGGCCAGCTCCGTCTCATACAGGGCTTTGAGTCCGCTCAGCTCCCGGCTCCGCACGTCCTCCGTCTCGCTAATCTGCAGGTGCAGCACGTCGTTTTCGGACTCCAGACTCCGGACTTTGTCTATGTAGACGGCCAGGCGGTCGTTGAGGTCCCGGAGCTGCTGCTTCTCCTGCAGCCGGGTGATCCGGGTCGGGCTCAGCGGAGTGCCGCCGCCGCACGTGCCTCTCTGGCCGGTGGGAGTAGCTGCCGCGGCCGCCATTGTTACAGGAGTGTCTCCGGAGGCCGGGGGGGAGAGTCGCCACGCCGTGCTGACAGACGCCCTCTTACACACGGCAGCTGTATATACAGACGCCCGACGAGCCCTGGTACTCCCGAAGGCTATCCTGGAAGTATTTCTGCCCTGGCTTAGTCGAATGAAAGGGGGGTTGGCTTCCCAATATGGCGGCTTATTGAAAACGCTACGTCGTGTTTCGCTGTCCAATGGCGCCGTACGCCCTTTGAACGTCAACGTTTGGGTACGTTGGAAAATAGTTCTGTATCTACCGAAGGCCTCCGTGGCAGGCGGGGTCAGCCTACTTCCTGCTTTGCTGTGATCCGCCCACAGTTGTGGTTTAAGTGGATGTGCAGGTGTATATAACGAGCGTTTTTTGGTTTTTCGGTAACGGTCGAGTATGAATTCATTTATCGTCTTTTACGAGAACAAAAAGTGAAACGGAGGAAGAAATATTAAACAAATTTCATACTTGTTTTTAACCTCTGAAGAGCCATTGCAGAAACAGAATCATATATCAGTCAGTTTGTATAACTTTTTTATTTTAGCACTTTACATTGATGCGCCCCCCCCTCTTTTTGTTTAGATTAAATACTTAAATACCAGATTAAATCCACAATCCTCTCATGTGTAAATTCTTTGGTTCTTAAATCTACCTTAACAGCTCCTTTTAGCCATGTCTGACTCTGAATCCCCTAAAACAAAATGCCAATTGAACGAGTTAAGTTTATCAGGAGACTGAAGCTCATTTTTACTTTATGGGATCCTCCAAAAACAGCAAAAGTATTTAAAAAATATGGAAACATATGCTAATTCCACTCACTAAAGTTTACAACTGCTTCACT